ATTATTTTGATACATTCAATATATATATATATTTTATTATTTATTATTTAAATGTGCAGGTACTTAGATTTTGGAATTTTCCCTCCATAATAATTTTTTTGCAACTGATCCCCCCCCCTCCCATACAAAAGTTATGTATACACCATTGATATAAACTATATCAGCGAACGGAAACGATCCTGATGGCGCGCACGTGTGGGCTGACCGTGGTGTGCTCGTTCGTCGAAATGACCTTTAGTGAACCCGAGTTAAACGGGTTAACGAATTTAACGGTCGCATTTGCACGTGCGCGAAAGTAAAAATTTGAATAGCACGGGCCACCTGCGATAAGTGAGTAACGCCGTTTCCTACCACCACCGGCCGATATACGTATGAATTCCCAAGTCCTCGTCGGTATCAGTGCCGCTATGTAAAAGCCCTTAAGAAAATTACAATTCAAAATAAAAAATAATATATGTAATAGAAATAATATATATTATAGTTATACATTCGTACGAGAAAAATTAAAATTTTTTTATTTTATGTTGATCCTAAACAATTTTCTGAACCCGCCCCTTGCTTCCCCGTTAAACGCGGCTCTGGTCAGTATTACCGGTAACCGGTACTGCTTCGACAGCGTTGATCGACATACTCCGCGACAAATGCGCACATCGACGTTATAATAACCTACGTGCACCTGCATCTGTTATAGCACGAATATCCGTCACGAGAAGTATTTTATATATCATGAGTATTATCATTAGCAGGGCTCGAGACTTATAGCACTAATAAATCTGAAATATGCACTATTATATGCACCGAAAAAATGTAAAATATGCACTATAATATGCACTAAAAATATGAAAATATGCTTTAAAAATAATTTATTTAAAATTGTTATTCAGACATTTATGAATTTATAATTATTAAAATTTAAAGAAAAATTTTTATATAATTTTCTACAAATAATGACTAAAAAATCTTTCCTGTTCTCATTAATTTGTATGTGTCGAATTTTGCCAATCTGTAAAATATAATTATTTCAAATCAATAAATCATTAAAAAGTAACTTACAGTTTGTACCTTCATAATTGCACTGTAGGTATTATTATGCATTTCCAAATATTTTCTAACTTGAAAGATCTGTTATTGCTAAATAATGTTTTGTACAACAATAACATTAAGATAAAAGATACGATAAACACAATATTAACTTACATTGGGATATTTTAGGAATATTTTTTTCAATCGACAATGAGTTTTATAACGTCCCAAAACTGTTGATCACTGATGAGTGATCGAAATATGTATTTTTGCAGGACTGAGTTTTCGATTTTTACATTAATTAGCAATAAATAGCAAAATAGTCGAAAAAATAGCAAAACCTCTAGAATATGCAAAAATATGCACTAAAAACTTTTAGTATTGAGTTCATTTTTGTCTGAAATGGATTTATTGCTTACTCTGCTATCTTTTCATAAACTACAAAAAAATATGCAAATGCTACAAGTCTCGAGCCCTGATCATTAGCATCGATTTTAATTAGTACATCGAATGTTATTTCCGAGCGAGTTCAATATTTTTATTACCGCTTATTTCAAATGCGTTTATCTCGCGTGATAATTATTTTGTTGGTAATTTTATAATACTGGATAAATCGATAATGGATTATATAAATAACCCTGGCAAATGTTTATAATGTTAAATTCTATAAAAATATGAAGCCATTCTTTTTTTTCTAAATTCGTTAAAATTGCAGGACTGTTGAACACCCTCCCTCCCAAGCATGCCTCTGAAGAGCACACTGAATCATCGATGAACATTTATAACTTCTATATAGTGTACATGGAGCTCTACATTTAATTACTAATAATAATTGGAACGGACTTTTTACCGTCTTTCAAAAACTCGTTCGTTTCTCATTATTGTAATAACACGCCACCATCTCGACTCGATGCAACATATTCCATTTCCATCCGATTAAGAACCAAACTGAAAAAGCTTACCGTAACAAAAACCCACATTATGTTTATATCCTCTGTTTCTGTTGCTCGTCGTAAAAAACTGGGAAAAAAACTTCAAAGGAAACGTTCAAACATCGTGTTACTCTTACTTATTGCCTAAAAGTAACCACGCAATAAACTTGATACCCGTATTGACTTCAATGTTTTGGATTAGCTTACATTATTAACAAAAGTGCATATTCAAAGCCTTTGAGTGATAGCAGGTTTATTTTATCGAAGTAGATCACTTTTAAAAGGATATTATATATTGTTAATAATAATAGAAAAATTGGACCCACAAAACGAACGTGGAATTCAATGGGAAACCCTTTAAAATTATAATGTTCAATAAGCTGGGAAGTTAAGTCCTCGACTTGAAACCGACGTTTAACTACCGTTTTTTTTCCTTTATTATATTTCAAGGAATATTAAATAATCATAACAAAAAATAAAAATTTGTTCTCTATTATCATCGTTCATCTTATATTGTTTTATTAATTAATTTATTTATTTATTTGAAATATTACACGCCCGGAGGCATTAAATACAAATATTTCAAATGCATAGTAATAAGATAACAAAGTAGCTTAACATTACTACCTAATATAAAATAAAAAGTAAAATCAAATAAAATATCAGTTGTATCATTGTTGGAAGTTGGCATATACACATGTACCATAATTGTGTCTTTTTTTTTTTTGTTCTCTATTTTGACAAGAAAAATCCTTTCGCTAACTTCTCATAACTTTTCATTTCCTTTCCGGTGTCCTTTTCAGGCATTGTACCTACTTCTCCCCTTCCAGAATTTTCAACTGATGTGCCTAAATATAAAAATCTATACTTTCCGCTCCGTTTATCTTCAAATTTAAACTATCTTATTTTCAAAACTCTCAGAATACCGATGTTCATCCTTGTCATTTATTACTAAATTATCAAATTTACCGAATTTTAGTAGAGTTCGCACATTCCAGCATACTATTTTCTTATTTCTTTTATCTACTTTGATCATCCCTTTCTTTCTAGTAATTAAATCCGAATGGGGAATATTTTACTTAAAAGAATCGATTGTTGTTACTAGGCAATGTTAATGTGGTGATTTCCCTTTTGCCTTCCAAATTACAGAGTAACCACCACTATAATCATCTTATAGAAGACTGCTCCAAAGGTATAAATAGTCGAGCCTAATACGTACTTTGCCAAGGTGACCACACAACCAACTTCAAAGGCTGTGCGATATTCAAATCTATTCCCAAGCGTCATAAAAATAATCACTCTAACACTCCTATATCCAAGGTAAAACTCATCATCTCCATTCCTGAATCTCCCTCTATTCCGGTCTCATCTCCGCTTCCGTCACATATTTATGCATCTATTGTTACAAACTCAAATATTAATAAAAATTTCAGCTCTAATACTGAAATATTCGGATTTTGATTCCATAATTAATCCACTTATTTCCTTCCACATTACTACATCGCAAAAACAACTCATTCCGTAACGTTCTTATTCTTTCATAATACGAAATTATCCCTATAATAAATTATATTAAATATACCTTCATTATTTCATTATTGAAATGAATATGTTATCAAACTTATTCTTATCTATCTTAAATTCCATAACTTTCATAAATGTTATTATTTCATTATGTAATATAATTAAATATCAAAATTAATTACCATCACGAAGTGTCATCAATGAGCGATTTTTTCTTCAATTATTTTTGCTTATTATTTTCATTAATTGTGTTATTTTTATTGTTTTATTTATTATTATATCATTATTTTTAATTACTTGCCTTTCACTTATTGTTATTCTAGATATTAATTGTGTAAATAGAATATTTAATTTGATGAACTGTAATAGTTTCAACTGAAAATTCGTAAAAAAAATAAATAAAAATAATATATGAATTTCAAGTAGAATGACGATGCACATTATTATTATATGAAATAATGTTCATTAGAGAAATGATAAATACTTAAGAGACCATCACCGAGTGGTATGGCATGAATTATGAGTTTGTAACTATTTGTTTCTTATCATACACTGATATTTATTGTTTTTACATGTTTCTGGAAAATAAAAAATCGAAAAAACAAAATTATATACCACTAATATAAACAATCCAAGAACGATAAAGACTTCATTTAAGTGTTCACCTCATTAATAAATATAATAACAATAATTAAAAAAAAAAAAAAAAACCAAAATAATGGGTCAATATACGAATAGGTGCTCGGCGATCCTTCAATCACGATAACTTAACCAATCCGTATCAAAGGTCATGTTGAGAATCAACAACCATTAATAAAGTCTTACTGACATATTTCCGTTGGTAAGTATCATTATTTAAATAATTCATTCTAAAATTTGAAACGATTTCAACTCTTAATCAAATAAGTTTATTTATTTTCAATTTCAATCTACACGTATCCCAGACCAAACAAATATATGGAGTGTCTTAAAAGAACGCAAGATTTAAATCTTCTATAAATTAAATTTACTTCTTTTACAAAAAAATATAAAAAATATATCCAGAAACTTCTCACGCAGCAGAGAGTGTTTCTCTTGAAGTATAATAAGTCACGCCTGTTGTAACTATACAAGAATACCTACTGAGCTCAGTAATTTTCTTCGGCCTCATTTGGATCAAATAAACATAAACAAATTATGGTTTCAACTTGATGAAAATAATGATATATTTGTTAATTTTTTTAAAAGAAATAAATTTAATTTATAGCAGATTTAAATCCTGCGTTATTTTTGAGACACCCTATAAAATTAGTAGTAGTAATTGTTCATCAGAACACTATTTGTTTTAATTATTTTTAAATAATTTATTTTCAACGTTGAACTCTTACTTACCAAAATACATATTTCATTACCTATTGCATACGCCAAAGTATAACGATTTTCAGTAGGACTTTTATGGCATTTACATGTTATAAACTCGGGACGTTTGACTAGGTCTAGTTGCCCGTAGTTTGACCGATGCAATAACAAAAACCTGTTAGATTATAAAGGTAAATATCTCCAACGATTATATATTATCAAAATATAAAATATAATCTTTATAATATTATTATTCGAATGCATTAAGTTAAGTATTTTGTACATTTGGTGCGAAACCCGTTGAAAACACAAGGAAGTAGCAACTTTTTCCGTTTCTATTAATATTTATTAGTTGTTTTCTTCCAATCCTAATTGATCCGTGAGGTCCAACATATATCCTGCGTCCGGCACGGCTGGCGCACAGCAATACGGGCTTCCCTTCGGGTTCGTTTTCGAACAGTACGGCGCTTCCGAGTTCGTCACGCAGTACACGCCTTTGACCCTATATCGACACGGAAAACAACTCATGTGAAAACGTGACACAAACGTGGCACGTTCGTCGTACCCGTATCCAAAGTATGCACGAAAAAAAGGGATTCGATTATACTTTTTGATTTTACCCACTCGATTATCTCACGCGTAGTTATTGGCATACATTTTACACAGAAATTTCGATTTCATACGATCGAGCAGAGTATCGTCGTACTCGGTAGTACTCGCGACATAGTGACTTCGAAAAATAATCTGAACCGACCGACTTGCAAAAAATTGGGTTGGTAACAATTTATTTAATTTTTTCTTTTTTTTTATGCACATTTAAAATGCAATTTTTTCCTGTCGAATCACAAAGTGCGATAACGGTCGTCCGTCCATTCCCTCGCTTGTTAATTCATCAATAACTTTTACGGACTTATCAACGAGCATTATGAGGTAGTGGTCCGCATGGTCCGTTTGGACAAATGGACGTGGCCGTTTGGGCGTGGGGACAAATGGACGTCAAAAAAAATAAATATATATATATATTTATAAATTATAAAACCATTGATAATATAAGCGTTCATAATATAACTAATTGTATCGTATCATAATATCAAACCTTATCGAATTTTATCGTTTTAGCAATAGGTAAAATATATCAATATGTATATAAATATATATTTATAACTTATTGGTTTTTACAGTTTGTAATGATTATCACACTTTATCGAAACACGGTGATACACGAGACACGTCAATACACATCTATAACCGTGTTAGTCGTGTACAAATTGCATTCAAGTGTACGTGTAAGATGTCATTAATTAATTCAAATCGCGATGGTGAAGTTTTTTTGAATGAATATTTTTGACATCAAAATGTACATATTATAATAAATATAAATAACTTATTTATTTTATTTACTGATTTATATTTTATATTCTTATATTTTTTTATATTTTTTTTTTTTTTTAACGTTCATTTGTCTCTACGTCCAAACGTCCATTTGTCTTAGATCACGCAAGAGGTGATTGGGCCCCCGCAGGTAATGTACGTGGTACGGGACATAAACGGTACAGTTGCCAGGGTTCACTTACTCGTCAGGCGTGTGCTGGCCCAGTACGACGTACGGCGTTTGTCCGAACGAGTTGACCGCCGACGAGCTGCCTTGGTCGCCTTGAAGACATCGCCTCGTGCACGGCTCCGCTCTCCGGGCCGTGCCCTCGTCCAAACTCTCGGCCAAGTAACACACGCTGCGCACGTGACTGCACAGTTCCGTGTCTGCACAACAATACAATCAAATTATCGTAACGGTCACATTTCATCGCGCGCGCGCACTGTTCCGAAATGAAAGTTTTGACGAAATCGAATAATTGCGTTGTGAAACGCACGTTTTTTTTTTTTATTATTATTACTATCGAATGGTATACGGAGGGTAATCGTACGTTCGGCGTCGATAGACGAACAACGAGTAGCGCGGACATCGATTTTATTCACGTTATGATACGTATCGATCGTTGTCGGCGATCATGTGTCGACATGGGTCGATATGTTAACGATTGTGTAGATTTGTTTCGATACTTTTGTCGCGGTGCATTTTCATTTCATTACGAGACTTCGCGCGAGCACCGCAGAACGCATCCCCCCGGCGTTCGACACCCCTCGCGATAGTGGTAAAAAAAATAAAAAATATTTTATTATAATTGTAAACCGTGTTTCGCGGCAAGCGAGACAGTTTTATTGTTATTCCTTGAACGATCGTATGCTCCTTGCACGTAAACAATACTATCTTTGAAAACGTATCGCGCGTGGCTTACTCACCAGAAGCGTTCAGACAGAACGGCTGCGCGCGTCCTCCGTTCACGCAAAAGTCCACGTGCCCCATGCGCTTCAGGTCCCCGTACCTGGCCGTGGCGTGTATGATCTGCACGACGTCCGCGTCGCCGGGATCCAGGCGGCCGGAAGCCCGATTGCGGATTAACGGTTTGGCCGGATCCACGCCTGCGACAAACGTGCAAATTATTGGTTTCAAACACGTAAGGGCTCTGCAAACCCTTCGCGCGCTCGGAACAAAACGTACTTGTAACCGTCCTAACACCTGTTTCCATAACCCGTACCTCTCCCAATGGACGTGCTATTTCCGTAGATCAAAATGATCTCACCAACGTTTTACTTTGAAACGCTGTTAACCTATTTTGTCTCCGAATGTACTCATTCGTCGCGCAAGGCCCGTTCTTTCTCACATTACAAAAAATAATACATCACAATGTCAGTGTTATTCGTAATATTGTTCGACTGTTATAACATGGTTTCCGAAAAATCGAATAAAATCAACGTGTACCTACAGCGACTATTCGTGATTTTAACCGAACACATTTGATCCGAAAAATATTTCGACCCAGCATTTTGCAGCCGACCGATTTCTACAACCAGTGAATCTAAAACTGCCGAAAATTACTCCGGTCGACCGTAAGAACCCTCGTAATATTCCTCATAACAGTGCGATTGAAACACGGCGTTTCCGAAAACAAAAACTGTGCACGTAAGAATAACGCTCGAGTGATGCGATCCAACACGATAATATTATAATTAGCACCTCGTTCGTGGAAATACGGCTTTTGGAAGGTAACACAGTGTGTTGGCTTATTCACGCATAGTTCACGGACGTTGCCCGTTACAAAACCGTTACAATATTTGTAGCACAAACTACTCCTGCCGTTACGAACTACTACACCTTTCCTCCGTGTGAAACAATGAAACAACATTTTGCGGATGGCTTTTAGTGATTTATCGATTGCCATAGTTAAACACGTAATAATACAACTAATATCGCAAAACAACTTTCTCGGCGATTACTTGTATAACACCGACAATCGCACTGGAAAACTTATAACGACTTGTCCCTCGCTTTCCGTTTATTATCATCCCGCTCGTATCTCTCGCGTTACCCGACTACCACCACGATGTATACTCAATAATATAAGTTTAACCATAAATCCGTTAATTTCACGTAACGTTAATAAATTTCTGTCGATAGCAAAATATGTATTGGACTCTTCTCCCCCTCCCCCCATACACTAACTCGAATTCAAAAACTTCATGTTTCCACTGCGGCACCTGTGCAGGTATTCAGTCAAAAAAGAGAAGCCGAAATAAAAGCAACGTTTGTTCACGCTCGCATTAAATAACCATACTCCTATAAATATTTGATAAAATTTGGCTTATTCCCGATTTATTCACAAGTGTCAAGTTCTTGGAACGACTGGACGGACTATAATCCGAAGTAAATAAGGCTCCCAACGTTGTTGATAGGGAAAATAAATGTCATTGTCTTTCAGATGTAGGAACTATACGAAAAGTGTATATGTTTTATTTGAATATTGATTTATTTTTAAATATTGTTTTATTTGAAAAGTATATATATTTTACGTTTATGATGTAAATGGGCTGAGGTAACACATTATGTGATGGTAATATATTTGTACTCGTGTATAAATGTTAGGATGTAAGAAAATCAGGAATAAATCAATGAAATAGACGTATTGAGAATGCATCGAAACAACAATTTTTTAGTAAATTATAAGACGGTCGTCGAATAAAAATTAATTATTAGTTTTTGATCGTAGTTAATGGCAAAACTGAGTTGCGTAAGAATAAACTACATTTTTTTATGGTTGGTCACATCACATTCACCGTACAAAAATCAAAGTAAAATAGCTCATCTTCGCCCACTCAAACAAGTTCTACATTCAAAGTCGAAACTTACACTCCACTGCGAAGTGTCCACACGAGATTAAATCTAAGTAAACTTCTTCTCAAACTAATGTAGACTTACCATAAACGAATTTAGAGATCCGTTAAATAATCCAACGATTACAAATAATCCAAAACAAAATGGTCCGCCTATTCACGACCGCTGTATTTGATGTTGCAAATCAAACTTTATGTTCCGACGTGCAAAGGAAAACAATCTGCTCCAAATAACTATGTTCGAAACTACAAATTTTGAAAAAGTCGTCAAAATATTCTGGTAAAATATTTATCTTTAGGTATTTCCAAAATCCCTCATCCCTCAAGAGATTGAAAAGAAAATGGTGCTACTACCTTCTTCCCACTTGCCCTGGAAATTTAAATAATGTAAATTCCTAAAGAGTGTCGTCAGTGAACGGGTTGTCTTCGGTATGAACACAAATTCTTACGCTTATTACATTTTGTACAGACTGTTGTAATCGAAATAAATAATAAAAAATAAAAATAAACGTTTCGAAGGATTTTTATTGAACGTTCTGTCTTCGCGCCTGTCTGTACCCGTGTTCGTGAAACTAATATTTTATGTTCGAAATCTTATATGAAGAACACACGGGATTCGATTTTTATTCCAATCCGGTGTTCCGAGTTGGCGCGACGCAAGATTTACACGAGACGGGATCGTGCATAGCCAGCGTTAGTGGGAGGCAAAACGGGGCATTTTTCAAGGGCCTCGCGCTTAAAATATTCATTGAAAAATATTTCGTACGGAAATCTCACATAATAAAACGTGAAATGTGTGGATCGCCTAGCGAGTGCGATTTCTAAAGAAATCCGTTAACGTGTAATAAAAAAAACCAATTGACAAAACAACAATATTATATTTAACACGTTATATATGCACCAACGACGATCCATTCGGCCGCACAGTATGGAAACCGGGATATCTAGGAAATGTATTTTATAGCATTTCTTAAACTCAATCAATCATTACCCGATATCGCGTGCTGCTGCCATCCAGTCTGATAACATGTTATCGCCTTTAATTGCGGCCTATAGGTGACTATTGTTATGGGCTAAGTAAGTTTTTACTAACCAGGGCCTCGCAAAGGGTAACGCCGGCACTGCGGGAACGCGAACGGGCGCGGTGCCGACTACTTACCGATGATACGATGCATCCGGAACGGCAGGTAGTTGGCCATCATGCCGCACAGGTGAGCGCCCAGGCTGTGACCGACGCACGTCAGCTGGTCCACGTCCAGGCCGGCGGTGCGCAGGCGCGTGATCGCGGCCGCCATGCACCGGGCCACGGGTTTCAGGTTGTGCACGGCCGCCGCGTAGCACGGGATGGCCGACAGCTTTCCCCAGTCCACCACGAACACGTTGTACTTGCCGTCTTTCAGGTATGCTGCACAACAGACGAGAAAAAGCAGCTGCAGCTCGCGGCGACAATAAACATTTGACGATAGAACAAATGAAGGAATCACCATCGAAAACGGTTTTCGATCAATAGTATACAAATAAATACCTGTACGTTTGCGTGTAGTAAATTTTTTCTCCCGTACCGAACAAGAAACGTGACACGTGACGATGGTTGCAACACACGTTCGTGAACAAACCTTTCTACACGTGGGGTTCAACAAGTATGCCGGGTGCAGCAGGAGATCGCTATGGACTCCGCCGATAGCGAAATGCGCGGCTTGCAAGAATTACCGTCACCGCGAGTGAATTGGATCAGACGTGTGTCACGCAATATTCACACCGACATCAGTGGCGTGCGTAGGGAGGGGGATGATAGGGAATGTATCCCTTACATGGGTTTTTTTTTTTTTTGTCTTAAACGTTTAAAAACGCATTTAAGAAATACGACGAGGTAGTCACGGTTAAATGGATTGGCGTTAGTTAACATACATCAAGACGTTCCAGTATCTATAGAAAAAATATGGTAATTGATGAATTTAATTTAAAAACTACTTTTTTTTGTATAGTAACACACATAACATCCCCCCCCCATACCAAATTTCTAGGCACGCCACTGACCAACACTGTCGGTATTCATTTTATTAACCGATCGCGTTATCCATTTCTGACTCATCAAAATATTTTATAATCTGACCTCCGGTCTTGCAGTTTTGTACGGATCTCGGATCGGTGACCGCTCTAGTGTTTTTCAGTACGACTTGCTCCTATACACCTAACTACTGCAGTGAGCCGCAGGAGCGTATTTTAGAGGGAGGTGACGAAGGGGCCATCGTCCTCCCTTGAATCCGTATTTAAGGAATCGATTATATGTAAGATACACATTTCAAAATTTTTAATGTGGATCATTTTATAATGAAATCAAATTACTTGTGGCTATGAATACCAAATTGGGCTTTTTGACGAGTCCATATTTAATGGAAAATCAAATAAAACACAAGCATAATTTTTAAAATACAGATAGATGTTAAAAAAAAACTACACAGAAATCGATTCCAAATGGATTCAGAATAGGATTAAAAAAAAAAACCACAAATAATAAGGATTCACCAGATTTCAATGTAACCAAAAATTTAACTTGTAAATGTTGAGCCTAAATTAACGAAAAAATTTGAGTCGCCCCCCTCCCCCTAGAAGTGAGGCTAAATATGAGCAGTTGCGATCAAATTCAAAATAAATACGTCTGTTAATAGTTATTTATTTAGTTATTTTTTTATCAATTTATTTTAAGTAAATCAATAACGATTTTTGCATTGCGTTCAAATCAGATGCAGTCGGGTGATGTATAAGACAGTCGGAGCAACCGTGAAAATGATATTCCACGGTAGACGTGAAAACGTTCATCGCCGAATAATAGAGCACTTGATATTTTTCTTATGTATGAGTACGTTTGAGTACGTCGACATTATCGGCATATATCACGGTAAGTGTTTATCTGATTGTAAAAGTCACTAGATCGCTATAACTACGTTTATATTCGCGATCTTGAAAAGTAACAGTCAAACTCAAATATGTATTAGCCTCAGACGTTGAAATCTTTTAACACGATAACCCCTAACCATTCCGGGCCTGTACGCAGGACAACGCGGCTTCGGATTCACAGTTGTAGGAAAATATGCATGGAGACCACGAGACCAACTGTGGTGGTGTAGCCGCTCCTGCACATGCTGTTGCTGACGATGATATTGACAACGTGAAGACGAACAGATGCAGGAGATGCGTACGCGTTGGAAACATGTGCGAGATCTGCGTAAGAATAAAACCGTCATTTCTGTTCGCACGTCGGTGTGTATCGCACCGATTGATTCCCATGCGATATTTTTTTATTCAAATTTTTCGTGCCTCCACCCCGTTCCGTAGACGTAAGCGCCACTCTGCTCCGTTGGCGCGTCCTGCAAATCACGGGATTCTAGGGGTCGTTCGTCGATCACTTGCGGTCGATCGCAAGTGTATTTGTTTTGACGAGATGCCACGCGTAACGGTATTATGTTAATCGTACGAATTCACGTCTTTTACTTCGGGTTTTCCTTCTACAGCTCCACCAAAACTTTGTGGATTTGACCAGGAACGCCACGACTGAAACACGCGGCATTGCGTCGAATCGCAGTTGAGTCTAACCACGAATCGTTTATCCGAAAGGCGTCGAAATAGACGTTTCGACACCGCAGGGAAAAACATGTTATCGACTTCTACCGTTGGTGGACAAAACTCTACCGTGGCTATAACGGTTTTCCAACTGTGTCTGTCAGCATGATAATTATTCTAAAATATACTTTTATTGAAGTATATGATTCATTTGTAAATGTGTTCGACATTTCTTTCAAAAGTATTTGAACGCAATTCATTATGCCGTACGAAACAAATATATATATATATATTATTATTAAAATGTGGATAGTTTTCAAAATTAATCAATCAAGTAAAAATTATAATTAATTTTGGTTTGATTTATTTTTTGCGCGTTTTCGCTAAATCAATATTTTTATCCGCACTCTACATTACGTATTTTGACTTTTCTCAACTGCAATAACGAGTGAATATTTTTCCGCGACTAAACCCAAAAGTGCCAGATATACGGCTACGTGTTATAACACTCGATAATTTTTTTTTTTTTTTAAGTCTCATTTGAAAATCACTTTTCTTATTTTTTCTATCCGAACATTGAAAATATATTGTAGCTCATACATTTATGCATAAGCACAAGTACAGTATTTAGATTTGAATTGCAACATAATGTGCATTCCATGAAAATTCCATAGACAAGACTTATTTTTATCACATTACTTAGTTAACTTTAACCAACCAAACTTATTAATTTTGTATGCTCAATATAACGATGGCTAAAATTAAAACATTTTTTAATACCAATAAATCTTGTTAACATTCGTAAATAACTTAATATAGAAATCCACAACAGTTTTTAATGGTATAACCATTTGTTTGTTTTTTAGATTCACGTTATTTTCAGAGTAATAGTCAACTGTTAGTTTTAAATTAAAACTGTATAGACTGTCATCTAAAAATGAAATTTGATACTGTTTTACAAAGAAAAGACATTTAAAAAATTATTTTCACTTTAATCTATCGTGATATTAGTACTTTAATCAATAACTAATTTTATCTTAGACATATGTCACTATAAAATATTACACCTAATTAATTTGTTTTCATTTATATATATATAAAATAAAACTGTATTTTTTTAAGACTTTACACCGTTTTGCAATCAGTTATATGTAAAATTGGTTGTTAACTATTCATTTATATATCCATGTTATGTTATTATACTACACGAATGCACTAACAAATATCGTCCCTCTCAATATCGTGTTGATTTCTTGTAATCAAGTGCGTTTTGAACTTCACAAGATTCACGCGTATACCTTCTATTTCAACGAAACTCTTTTATGGTTGTAATACGCAGCGGAAAAATAAAAACGAATCAAAGAAATAATCATATTATTATCACTGTCGTCCGCCATGCACCGTTTGATTACGTTTATCGTATTACACGTGCACACGACGGGAGCTTAAGACTAGTGCATAGGCTACGAATACCATTATGGCGGGGATTATTTTACGTACATTCTCGGCTAACGACTGCAATAACATCGTACTGAAAAATAGTAGAGCGGCTTTAGACGTATTTGATAATAAATTAAATTTAAGTTAAACTACTATGCGTGTAATAATTTCACTGGTATCGTTCATTAAAGAGATGATAATAAATATTTCGTTGAAACCGCCGAGTCATATAATTTACCGCCGGAATGATACGGATAATTCATTATACTCGTGTGTGCTCCATAGTGTCTCGCGATTGTTTTACGTTAATATTTTAACTTACATGTTTATAATGATGATAGCGATCTCGTGAAATTATGGAAAAAAATCATAACGATTTACACAACGTTCTGCGTCCAACATAAACGCGCCGTACAGTATATTTAATCGAGTCCATCGAATACATTGTTTACGATATTATACAGAGTCGTAACTAGGGTGAGGCGAGCGAGGCACTTGCCTTGGGCCCCTGAAGCTGGGGGGAGGCGCAAAAATATTAAATAATTAACTTATTTTAAGAAATGTTATTTCTTGTTTTGCTAGAAACCTAATTACAATTTTTCAGATTATTCTGAATCGTGTTATACATATTAAAAGCTGTAAGCATGACAACCATACAACCTGGGGGGTGCATTGCTTCAGTTCTGCCTCAGGATAAAAAATGGCTCGGTACGGCTCTGATATTATATAACCTTTGTAGTGTTTCAACGAGACCAAAAACGATAAAATCGTGACAAAAAGTACATTGTGTTACACGAATTCCGTCTGAGACGTCAATAACTCCAACGATAAAATATAATAAACATGTAGGGATATATTTTCGTTTACCACTCGAAGTGTTATCGAAATAACCATTCATAGAGTAACGGTTTCGGGATTCAAATGGTCGCAAATCAATAGATTTTAAGTCTATATACAATATATATATATATATATATATATATGTGTGTGTGTGTGTATGTGTGTGTGTACTGTACACGCTTACCGTCTCTGAGTACGGAGCCAGGGAAATGGTCTCCTGCCGTTCCACCGTAACCGTGCACGATCAACACCGTGTGCAGCGAATGATCCCAGCCGCTCGAGTGCAGCCATGCCGGTGACGTGAATTCGATTTTTTGCTTCTGAAGCCTCGACCCGTCTCCGGTGTGCCTGTAATGAGATTCGAAGCATGCGGTTAGCCTGCACACGAAAATGCGCGTCGAACAACCTATTAAGAATCTGTCATACTCGTCTACAGAGCCACGTTTAACGGGCGGCAGGTGGAGAGCAAATTTTTGAGGATCAACATGAAATAAAAAATATCGAAAGTCGCAAGGGACAAAAACCGAGGAACATTAAACCATAAATCAAATTCGAAATGAAAATGTTTAATTATGTGGAAAATTGTGTATTTATTATATGTACATAATATAAGTATTCGTAATTGTGAAAAGTATACATTGAATATAAAAGTAGAAAATCTGCCATTTTTGATTGTTTTTGTTTAGTATTAGAAGTACTTTCAATAAAACTTTCTAAACTATTAAGTGTAGAAAAAATGTTGACAGAAACTCCTGACTATTGTTGATCGTATCTTCGAAGTTCATGAATAGAAGTCCGTGAAACTTTTACACCGTTATTGGTCACTAGCTGAATTATAATTTAAATATCACCATTATTACAATGTTGTGTGTACAAGCTCTGTCATTTACTTACATTTTATAATCTGAGCATTTTATATTTAATCTTATCCGTCATATATTCGAATTAGTGAATTCGACATTTGGAAATTCGGTATATCGAAATAACTTAAAGTCCAATACTGAATGATCGGGATTTGAAAAAGAATTCGACATACAGAAATTTTGAGGTACCGAATTTCCATGTACATTAAACTTATCAACCCAACTTATTGAACGAATTACCTGATCTGATAGATATCCAGAGTCGAGGAACTATGGGTCAAGCCATTTCAAGAGGCCATTTAATAGGGATGAAAATGAATTAGAAACGAATACCTTGTAAAAAAAAAAAAAACACAATATACTCATCAAAGTGTATAAGTATATTTATATTACATTTTAGAATTAGTGATACCACCGATAATGACTTATTTACAATTAATAAATATAATCTAATTTTATTAGCGCAACAAACGTACGGAATAAAATATGATTTACTTAACTTTCTACTAAAATGATCTAATTTAAAATATAAATTATAAATTGAAAAATTTTAAATTTTGAATATACATGGCATTCATTTTTCAAGTAACTCCGATGGGCCAACTGTCCAAGAGTCTAAATCAAGATCTAAAGAGAGAAAAAAATTTCCAAGAGGCCAATTTTGTCAAAAAATATTAATTGTGGGTCAGCTGACCCCCTGAACCCCCCCCCCCTAGGTCCACACCTGACACAAATACCGTAATACCGAAGACTCGTAGCAAAAATAATCGCACGACCCCTACCCAAAACAACGGGCCGATGAAGGGTGAACAACATTTGACGACCGGGTGAATCTATTACGGAACTCAATACCGTACAGTATCGAAGTGCTCCGATAGTAGTTGTTTAGTTATCAACGTTTCTAACAGGACGTTTGTTCTATCAATGATGGTATTTCATCACCTGGCCGTCCCTAATTGTGATAGGTCCGACACCTGTCGCGTCGATGACGATAGCTCTTGGGCGGAATGCAGTAAATCGACCGAAGTCGTTGGAAATTTAATAATATTTAATTTTATTTCGTTTGATTCGACTCGTTTTGCGTGGGGACGACAAACGTTCACCGACGTTGTTATGACTAGCCACATGGATGAGTATATCAAAATGCGATGTACAGCGAAAAACGCAATGTTAAATTTTACGGATCCACTTCCGGTATTGGAGGGCTATACCGCCACGCACCGTACCCTACTCAAAACTGCACGCGTTCGGCAAGTATCGTAAATATCGACTGCGTTGTCGTAGACCGTTAAATCGCACGATCCATCCAAATCCAATACACGTTTTACGCGAAAATAATCTTTAAAGTATTCACGCTTTTTTCTCGACCCCCACTCGTCAATGTTTCATCAATGGCAACGTCGTTAACAGCAAACAACAATAAAAACCCGAAACAACGATAAAAACAGTCGAAATAATACGTTACAGCGGATGGAAACGAGTTCTCCCGCGACGCTCCTGGAAACAAGGGCTAAGTAATCGCGCGGTATTTATTCGCGTCCGGCTTATTATTCGGCGGCATCCGAACGAATTAGATTTCGTTTTAGTCGATCGCAGACCATAAACACCGGATCTCCGTGACTGAAGCAATACCAAGGTCTGGGTTTTTCAATCGCTGTATGTCGGGATTAAGTTCAAGCTCGTCGCGGAGTACATCGAATGACACGAAACATTCAAATATTTTTTATGTGCATTATTCCGAAAAATCCAGTTTCCCACAAATACGTAGAAGAAAATGTAAGTAAAATACTTATCGCTGTTTCGTACAGCACGAAATACTCGCCCTTGAGTTAAATCCAAAACTTACTCGGAGATATTGATTTAAATGTAGTTAGTAGACCAGTATCTGACGATCACTCTAACAAAAGTTCTTCTTCTATCAAGCCTACTTTATGTTGTGAGTTCGTTACAAACGGATTTTTACCCACAAATATTCGTCTCATGAATTTTGGTTAAGTGGATTTATCATGCAATAACTGCAAATTCTTTTGGATAGTAATTTTAATAGTATCATATCAATGTTTACTTTGTTAGATTCTAAAATTGACGAAAAAGATTTGAAAATCTCATAGTTCCCTTCTTTAATTTTCCTGATCCGCAACTATATTTTTTTTTTTAAATGCATAAACTTTATAATGCATAGTAAAAATTATTACAATTGTACACTGTAGGCTTAAATTGAAGATTAATTTCACTATAATGGTAAAAATATCAGGTAAGTAACTTTTACGATCTATTCAGTATTGTGCATGATTCATATGTAATTACTTTTCTTTAGGATTAAAAAAAAATTTTATTTTTTTCTCAGCCAATCTAGAGTCTATATATAAATCTAATCTAGATCAATCTAAAGTCAATCTATGATTCTGCCACGGAATAACTACCGATCCTCTGCATGCAATTATTTAACATTTAACAAAAACGCAAGCAACGTTGCAACTGAAAAAACGATGAAATACGAATCATGATGTCCGAAACAAATTGTTGCAATAGTAGCATTACTATTAGGCATGATGGTTAGGAATATCGGTGAGTATATTTTACTATACGGTAATTTTACGGTTTAAAGTGTTAAAAACAATAAATTTAAAATACCGTTTTTACCGAAACATTACGGACCCTTTTTATCGCGAACCGAAAATTCAGAAACACTGGTCTATACGTCGGAGATTTGTAATAAATTAAGTTCTCGGTTCTTCAACAACACTCGCAATACTGGGACATTTTTTCAATCATTTTCGTACACATATCGCAGTGAATTGTTTTACATCCGTTAGAGATTACATACACTATGCGATACTTTTACTAATAATAAGCAAATGTATTAATATGTGTGCGATCGCAAGAATGTAATTGTAGTTTGACAACTTTTGGATTAGTTTTGGATAAAGATGCGTTTACCGCAACCGTCGTACTCGGTTTTTCGCTGCTTCTACATATTATTATACTCTCGCGGATGCGTGTTACGGTCTTTTCAACACCGTCTCGTATCCGCAGATCCTATTTCTCAGGTCCCAGTGTCTAATAGACGACAATGAGTGACAACACACGACCGCCATTTTCTGCGGTCGAAGCTTTGAAATGTGTCATATATAATAAAAACATTGTAACGATTTCTCTCTCTGTCTCTCTTCCCATGGCTCTTTTTCTATTTCTCATATGTTTTTCTGCTGTTTTTGACGTAATATAATATATTGCACCCATTACGGGGTTTTTTTATTGGTTATTTTTTTACGAGTTTTTTTCATAGTAATAATCGTAGTCGACCGTAGCTCGTGTAAACGACGAGATTTTAGGTTTTTGAAATATGCAATGGAGTTGCACAAGAACAACCGTAGTCTAAAACGTTTTTCGAACATCGATAATGCAATTGCGTCTGAATTCTCCGCGTTGTTAACAAGCTTAACGTCAACAAAACATCGAATTTTTTCAGAAGGAAAATAATTAAGGTTTTTTTCTGCGTTCCGTTCGGAATTCATAGTACACGGTTTTGTAAAATGTTTCAACGCGACAAACGTAAATGTATTACCGACTTGAATGTACTCAACACCGTATGTATACCGATGTACACGATACGATGTTTGATCGAAAAGCTTCCAGTGCTAATTTTTTTATACAAACTATCCAACTTAAGTGCGCCGATACGGGAAACTTTCTTTTTCTTTTTTTATCATACGTTGACGACAACGCAAATTATACGATTATAATATTATACGGTATTCGTGCATTATTTTTAATCTATGACCGATAGTTGGCTATTTTTAATTGTTCGCTTCGTAACCTTATACCATAGTCCGTGCACTCTCGTCGAACGATACAATATTAGCGTTCGACTGCAATCGTTAAGAAAACAAACCGATGTGGAAACAATAAATCAATTTCGCAGCCACCCTCTTAAAAACAGATGTTTAATTATTGCCTGTGATATTTTATTCCAAACACGGTATGATAAATTAAGTGGAACAAAATAAATAGGAAACAATCATCGACGTGATATACATAAATTATGCGGCAGGTGCGTATATTGTGTTCTTGTTTTCGTTCCGTACGTACCGTTTGTCTCGGTTAAACGTTAATAATTAAATATTAAACGCGTGCATTCGCGGAGCCGATTTTCGTTTATTAAACTATTTATGGATTTAACCCATGGTCAAACTATCCCCGCGTTTGGTCGAAATCGTATTGACACATTACACAGTGAATTTAAAATCACTCAGCTGACAATGGCCGCGGTCGTACAATATTAATTAAGTGCGTTTTACGCACGACCGTACAGCGTACAATATTTGCGTTCAAACAAGCGATTTCGATCGTGAACACGAATCGTATTTTCATGGATGACCGCAGTAAATTACGTTACACACCGGACTAATACCAAGACACAGGATTACGGGTTCAAAGAACGTTCAAAACCGTAAGTCAAGTCTGTAGAACGGTCGTCGTACC